GGTGGGTGGGGCTAGAATACGAAACTGTATCCTGGGCCACATCGGTCCCTTCTCTCTGTATCTGTGTCCCTTACAGAGGTGGAGAGGTGGGCCTGCCTGATCCCTATTGTCCCCTCCAGCTACAGAAAAGGATGCTCCATAAATTTACTCCACACCCATGCGCTGGATAAGACTTGCATGAGACACTGAGGGCTTGGGCACGCCTAGCTCCTCACCCAGAATCCAGAGGCACAGCTTGGCAGCCAAGGTCATCTGCCTGTCACTAGTTCCTGTCCCTTAGGACACTGCCACCCCCACCCAGGCCTTTCCATCGTCACACTGCTGTCCAGCCATGTGTCGGGGGCTCGACTGAGACCCACACTCCTGGGGGCTCCAAGTCACCTTCCAGATCACCTTCCCCAAGGCAACCTCTTCTTCCTGAGATGTCCCTTCACCTTGTTCCACCCTCTCCTGCCTCTCCTTCATAGGGTCACAGAAGCCTGGAGACAAGAAGGTCCTTCAGCTTCAGCTCCTGGGGCCCCTGCATACCCTCCCACCTTGTACCTCCACTGCATATGCCCAGTGTGGGCGGATGTCACCCTGTCAAGCCCAGCTCAGGCTCCAGCATGTAGCAGGTACATGACCTCTGTCCATTCTCACTGAATTCTCCTTAACCACCCATCTTACAAATACAAGAACTACAGCCCAGGCTGGGGAGGTAGCTCAGCAGTCTAAGTGCCTGCCTGGCAAGCACAAGGACTCAGGTTCAATTCCCCAATACTGCATGCCATGCCAGCCCCAGGTGCCAAGCCCACCACTGAAGCTGGGCATGGTGGTGCACGCCTATAATCCCAGCACTGGGAGGCTGAAAACAGGAGTATCACTACAAGTCTAAGCTGTGTAGCAAGACCTTGCATCAAATAAATGAATAAATTTTTTAATTAAAAAAAGAACCACAGCTCAAAAGGGCCACAGTGAGAACTGAGACCACACACCCTGCTGTGGTTTGGATTTACAACCCCTAAAGGTTCATGCATTGAAGGCTTAAACCCAACTGATGTTGCTATTTGGAGATAGTGGAATATTTAGGACAGGGCCTGGGAGAAGTGGAAGGAAGCTGGATCACTGGGGCTGTGTCTCTGTCTCTGCCTCTCTATTTCTCTCTGTCTCTGTGTCTGTCTCTCTCTGTCATCTCTGCATCCTGGGCTACCTCAGTCCCTTCTCTCTGGACCTGTGTCCCTTACAGAGGTGAAGAGGTGGGACAGAGACAGAGACAGAAAGACAGAGACAGACAAAGAGACTGAGACTGAGACAGAGACAGAGAGAGACAAAGACAGAGACAGAGCCTGGAAGGTCTGAGTCCATGCTCTTGCCATGCACCAGGTGCCTCCTTAAATGCCATTTCATGTTTATAAGACAGGCCTGAACTGCAAGACCCAGGACAAAACTCTCTTCTCCATGAGATCTCTCTTCATGTTCAAGGTGGGAACGGACATCTGTCTAATGTCCCTTTGCTGTGAGTCCAGGCACAGCGAGGGGCCCCCACCTGATCCTGGACTCAGGAAGGGATGAGAGGAGGGCAGAGCTGAGGCCTACAGAGGGAATTAGAGGAATCCTGGCATCTCTCCTTGCCAACAGAACCCCAACGGCTTCCAGGAACCCCAACAGAGAAAGACTGCATGCAATGCAGAACCCACACTCCAGAAGGATCCTGCAGCAAATCACAGAGAGATGGCCAAGAGAAAGAGACCAATGCATCCCAAAGACCCAACAGCCCCCTTCCCTGGTGCCCCAGCTACAGCAGTGCAGCCCAGAAGGTCCCAGTAAGACTCTGTGACCCCACAGCCTCCCCACCCAGAGATGGCAGAGGAACTCCCTACGGCCAGTTATGGGTATGCAGCAGAGAAGGGGCTTCTACCAGCTGCGTGCAGTACTTCAGCACAGGTGCAAGATCTTGAAGCCCTGGGCTCCAGGATGGTCTGCACACCCACCCTGCCATTCTTTCCTGTGTGCCTTCATGGGACACAGAGCCAGATGCCCTGCTCTAAGATTATGTCTTCATTCTTCAGAAAAGAAACAGAGGTCAAGAGACAGGAAGTGACACACCCAAGGCCCAACAGGGAATTTGGAGCAGAGACAGGTGAAATTAGCCTCGTGGTTCCCGTTCCTGGCTTCTTTCTGTTATGCTCCCCAAGTGGCCAGCTTGGTTTCTCGGTGGCCCCTTCTTCCAGCTGTTCCCAAGCTCCCCCCAACAGACACCCACTTGCCCAGCTCTGGGGCTGCTCTGGGTGGAGCAGAATCCACAGGGACAATGAGGAGAAATGTCACAGTCCTCAAAGCCCACCTAGCCTGCAGACAGGAGTAGCTCCAGAGCTCAGAGATCCAGAGCTATGTGGGGCCCAGGTACCTCTGGACAGCAGGCAATAAGGAGTTGATTCAGTGAGCTGCGTATCCAGTATTTCCTCATTTGTCTTGTCAACAGCCTCATCCCATAGAGTGTCAAGTCCATTACACAAAGATTTTCTACTAGGAAGATACTTAAGTGTTGAGTCCAGGAATCAACAGAGGCCTGGATTAAGGTGAGGACCTCAGAGCTCCAGGGAACAAGCCAAAGTTACTTCTCTAGCACAGTAAACTCAGTGGCACCTGGCCGCGCAGTAACAGTTGGATGGTACTAAAGCAACGGGGAGGGGATGACACAGGGGTGCATCTGAACCAAAAGGGCACCTCCCCATTTCTGCCAGCAACATCTCATCCAACATCTGAGTCCCAGAGCACTGTCTCTAAAGAACCAATCCAAAATGGACCTCTGTTCAAAACTAACCAGAAAACGTGACCATCAAAACACTGATGAGAAGGGACTTCCGGCTGGCCATCATCCAGACCGGTAGGGTGGACAAGATTGAAAATGAAGCTGCTCTAGCCCATACTGCTAGGATGATCCCACTTGGGTGTGGAGGGCCGATGGTGGAAGCCAAGAGCAGAGCACTTGATACAGCTGGTCAGCTTTGAGGTCTCCTCCATGCCACGCTCTACCACCCCCAACCACTGCGAGGGCCCAAGGTCATATCCCACAGGCCACTACAGCTTGAATCTGGCAGGTCCTCCAAGGCCTGTGTGTCTAGCCCTGCACCATAGAGAAGTGGTAGAAAGTCTGTAAGAGGTGGGCTCAGTGAGGAGGTCCTTATGTCAGTGAACCAGGCCCTCAAAAGGGATTATGGGAAGCTGGTCTCCTCCTCTTGCTCTATTTCACTTCCTAGCCATGGGATGAACAGTTCTGCTCCCCCAGGAGCTCCTATCATGGACTGCCAGCAAGAGAGCCAACTAACCATGAAGAGAAACTTCTAAAACTGGTCCAACGTAAACCTGTTCTCTTTGTAAGAGCAAGCACTTGCAACTGTAGGGAGGGTCGCTTCAAAGGAGCAAAAACTGGCTCTCTGGTATGAAAAAAGTAGACATTACAGAGGCTTGTGCTCTTTCAAAACTCGACCCTTTGTGACAAAATTTATTTCTTGGTCTTGCATTTCTCTAGTTAGGGCAAATTAATTTTTCTCGTGGGGTAATAAAAATGAAAACAAAGGTTGAGAAACATGGTCACAGAGAATTCTTCATTTGAGAGGTTCAGAGTCTCCCTGGAAAGTCTCTGATTCATAGTGTATAGCAATGATTCTCAACTAGCAGTGACTGTGCCTCACAGGGGACATTTGGCTGTGGCTAAGAACATTATGGTTGTCGTGACTTGAGGACGTGTTAGGGCATCCTGTGGACACAGACCAGAGAGATGCTAAACCTCCTACAACACACAGTGGTTTTTCTGAAACAAAGAACTACGCAGGCCAAAGTGTCAACAGCGCTGCTACTGAGAAGAGCAACTGGACCCCCCAGAAGCCTTCTGAGACGGTCACAGAAGCACCTGGAAACTAGAGCCTGCAGAGAAGAAGGTCCCTCTGGCCATCAGACACCATGGTGGCTCCTGGAAAAGCTCATCCTCCCCACAGCTCCAACCAACACCAAGGTACAGACCCATCCCCACTACCCAGCCCAGGTGGATGGCCCCAAGCCCCAGGCCTCCCTACCACCAGAGGGTGCAAGACCAAGACTGCAAAGCTCATTTGCCTTCTGCCTACTGACCCAGCAAGCAAAGCCAGAAGCCAGCATGATCCCTCTCACTCCCCAGGGAAGGCAGGGTGAGAAATGCCTGGGACTGGGGAGGGGGGTCTTCCCTGGGGTGCCTTCCTCAGTGGTTCAGGAGCCAAGGGAAGACCCAGAGCAGACCACAGGAAAAATCAGTAATCTAGGAGTCTCCTTTATTCAAAATACTTAGGTTAAGAAGCGCTTCAGAGCTCAGAATTTTTAATTTTGGATTATTTGCATATACATAGTGAGCTATCTTGGGATCAGAACCCAGATACAAAATTCAATTGCTTCATATGCACCTGATATGTTGGTAAATTTACAAAATATTTTTAGTGCATAGCACCAGCAAAGTGGCAGGTGTGAGGTTTTCCACTATAACAACATATCAGCAAAAAAATTCAGATTTTTGGAAAATTTTGGAATTAGGGTTTTGCAGATTAGAGGTGCTCAACCTGTACCAAAATCCACAGCTACGTTTCCTGAGATCGCCCACAAGGTCTGCAGCACCCCATACACTTTGCGGTTCACTGACGCACTATGGCTCACAACAATCAGATAAGGTGCTACAGTCCCCACTTCACAGCAGAGGAAACTGAGGCACAGAGAGTAACAACTTGACCAAGGAGAACAGCCCCAAGGCAAAAGAGCCAGGGAACTGGGAAGAAGGAACAGGGACAAGTGTGGGTGACACAAAGTCTCAGGTTCAAGCCCATGAGAATCACAGTGCAAGGAAGGAAGGCCCTCAAATGCTTTGCTCCAGACAACCTCCAAAGAAAAGATGATGGGCTCTCCCTCTTTACAGGCCAGGCCCGAGACTCAGAAATACTCAGGGACAGTCAACGGCAGCCCAGAGAGCAGACCATGACCCAGCAAGAGCCACTTACCTGAGAAGATTGAAGCAAGCCTGAAGATGTCCGAGAGGCGTGAGGTCACGGGCTCATAGGGCGAGGCTTCGTAGAACTCCTCACCTAGAAGAGAGGTGGGCGTCAGACACAGCTCCCCCTGTTCACTCCATTCTCAGTCTGGGAAAGGTCCACTGTGAGGGCCTGTGCCATCAGGGAGGGCGAGGCCGTCACAACTGCAAAGTGCTACCCTCGCAAATGCGTAATGAAAAGTTGACTCTTGCACATGGGAAGACACAGCCCTCCACCTAGCACAATATTCCCTGAGAGAAGATGCTACGCTACCACCTCTTTCTCCCCCATCATCTTCTGCACAAGCAGCCCCTTAGACAAGTGTCCAAATGCTTCTAGAAAGGAAGACAGGGAAGGCAAAACAATAACCTGTGAAAGACAAGTACCAATCATCGGATCTGAAGCTAGAGGCCCCATGACCACTGAGTACAAATTATTCATTTCACAAGAAAGGTTTCTGCGGTGGTCCAGATAGGTGAATCCACCTGCCTGAGGTCACAAAGCTTCTCTCAGCAGCTTCCCTCTATATCTGGTCTCCTGGCTCTCACTCCATACTGGTTCTGTGCGGGTCCCTTCAGAAGAATCTCCTCTTTGCTTCCTGTCATGCACCAGAAAAGTCTAGTGGGAGGGGTCGAAAGTCACTGGGTGGTTGGCCCAACCCCTGCTCCTGTCTACCTGACACCCCCACACACACAACAACCTGTGCGACCTCTACCCTCCAACCTATCCTCAGGGCTCTGGGGAGCATGGGAGTGACTGGAAAAGCAGGAGATAAAGGGCACTGCGTTGCCCACCAGCACCATCTCATCAAGAGCCCCAAGTGCCTGTTAATATCTCGAGGGAAAGGAAATGCCCTCTCTGGGGAGGAGCAATCAATGCAGACTGCATCTGGAGAGGGGTGGGTGGACTGGGACTCCCACTCACACATAACCATAACCATTTCCCCCCCGGGGGGGCTGGTGCCATGAGCAGCCAGCCCTGGCTGTGGGGCACCCAAGAGAGTGGCATCTGTGGGGCCACCTACAGGAAGAAACAGCCTTCAGAAGAGGGCCTCCCAATGCTCTCGCAGCAGGCGCCTCAACTGGCCCACGTGGTCCTCACCCCTGGGAATGGAGGCTCAGGGGGGGCCTGCTGGAATCACAGAGCAAGGAGGCTGGCTGTGTGGCCAGCAGATCCCAGGAAGGGCACAGAGCACAAGAGGAAGCATGTGTACTTGCCCTCCTAGGGAGACAGCCCCTACCCTGCACCTTCCCTCTTCGGAGCATCCCATGTGCCAGGCCACACACAACACACGCAGTGGCACCCCACAAATCTGCCTAGCAGCCTCACCCAGGTGCCTGGCATCATCATGGTCTCTATCCAAACTCTGCTCCCCAATGACCTCAGTGACCTCCATCCCACCCACTGGCACTTAACTTATATCCTGTCCTGGGAAACTGGCCTCCAGCCACTGCTGCCAATTGGAGCTAAACAATACAAGAGTTTAGGAAGCCTTTTCATGCTAAATAATAATAAATAAGGTAGGGGCCTGGCCTTAGCTCAGTTGTTTAAGTGGCTGCTTCCACAAAAGCTGTCAGCCTCAGGTTGATGTAGTTCGATCCCCACAACACTCCAGCCAGCCAAACCACCCCTGAGGGCATTCGGAGA